ATGAAATTGAAATTTAGGCCTTGAATTTGCTAAAATTCCAATAACTAAAGTATTCATTAAAAAAAAGGGCCTTGAAGCAAAATCACTGAGAATCTCAATCTGCCTCAAGTAACCTTAGCAGTAATAGGAAGGCAAATATTTTCTGGATGCCACATTTTTACTATTATAATTTTGTTATTATTATATCTTGTGTGATGTGTTTTTTTTTTCTCAGAAAATCGAAGAGGAGACTCACGTAGAGTATGCATCTGTCGCCATAAGAAGATGATTTTCTAAGTACCAGATCCAGCTGTGTGATCACTTTCACTTAAGCTTTTATATTAAGTCTATTGTTGAGTTTTGTAATTGGTGAGAATCACTACATTCATTCATTAAAAATTCATATAGACAACATGATATCAAACCCACAATACTTTCATTCATCTTCGGAACACAAATGAGGTTAATGTTCTATTATCTTTTTTTTTTTTTTCGTCCATCCATTAGACTTATTTGATATGCAGAAATGATCCTCATTATGTCTTGCACATCAAGCATGCAGGTTTGAGTTTCCATGTTTAGCATATTTGATTTGCTCAATGCATGTGCATCAATGTTTATGTGTGAATAAATGCATAATGTGTTCATGAACTATTTGAAGCTTGAAGAGGTTGGTTGTGTGGACTTTCAGTGGATAATGTAAAATGATGAGAGACTATTAAACACTTTCATGTGTGTTCTGGAGATGAACAAAAGTCTTATGGGTTTGGAACGATAGGGTGAGTATGTGATGACAGAAATTTCATTTTTTGGGTGAACTATCCCTTTAAAGTCTCAAAACTATGTGTGTGTATCTCCAAGTGCAAAACATAAATGCAAAATACTCATCAAAAGTAGTCAAAGTTAACTCATTCTGTACAGACAGGTTTTTGTATAAGCATGTCTACTGCTAGACGCTGGTGTTTGATGTCAGTTTGCGAGTGCGTCTGAGGTGTCGGGAGTGTGTCTGTGTGAACAACGTGTGGTTGAAGGCATGTGTTTTTTTCCATTCCTGCTCATGATACTCACAGTTTGACTTTTACTTTACAGAAAACAACTTAAAATACAACTGTTGATGTACAACAGTTTTATACAACAGTTCAAGAAACAATAAAGTAATATTGACAGTTTTTGTCCTATTTTGCTAACAAAAGTTAAACAAAGCAGAACAGTTTTCCAATAACACAGATTGGTATTTCATTCTTGAATGATGCAGTTTTTCATTTGTCAGTTGAATGAATAATTCTATGATTATCTTACTAAGACTTGCCTCAAACTACTGGCGAATTTCCTTATAACCAATGTTATTTTCCACTAATTCATTCTTACGCAAGTTTCCCAAAGGATTTGTGCAACACCCAAAGAGATAGGAAAATGCACACATAGACATAGTCCACAATTAAGATTATTAAACTCAATTCATACAGCAAATCAAGTGAACAATAACAATGTTCATTTTGTAATCAGCAGTTCTTGTTTGGTCAGCAGAACAGTTTTAGCAGTCAAGAGGACAAAGCTGAACCCCATAATGTTAAAGATGAGAGAAAATCTCACCTTAAGGGAACTTGATGGAGTTAATGTCCAGATACAAACTTGAAAATCTGAGGGATGATCGAAATCTGTAACTGCTCTTCATGAATTGTCACCTGAGGAAAACAAACCATTATCAAGGAACAAAACACTGCGGATGAAGTCTGAAGGGGTGATGGTAAGCATAAAACCATTGTTTAAAATGAAGTATAAAATGTATTTAACAAATCTGTGGTGTAGTGGTTTTAAGTACTTTACTATGTGGTTACTATAAGGTACTTTTGGTGGTTGGTTGTTTACTGTCCAAAAAGAGCCCACCTTAAGTCTTCACGGCTGCCTTCCACTTCTAAACACACACTTGCAAACTTCCCTAAGCACTTCCTTCTAGGGGAATCCCAGGCGCTATTTTGAAGTGTGCTCCACTTCCTCAAGTGGATGAGGGACGTTTATATAGACAGACCCTCGTCCCTTCGATTTTGACCGTGAGCGCGAGTACACTGTATGTACAGTTCAGAGAGCTCCGTATACAACAATGCAACACGATTGTGACGTCAAAGCATCATGCTTAAGTTACTCCCACACTGCACAACTCTATATGAGTATGAATAATTTTGGGATTTATCCCAATCATGCAATCATGGTTTATTTTGATAATGTTTTATTTGTTTGTGTAATTTATATATTTTCTCCAACAGCCCCAACATGTCTATAAGCATATAGATTGGTGCATCAAATTCATGAGGAAAGAGTTATATATATATATATATATATATAATAAAATTAAAAATATATATATATACACACACACACACAAAAATTTCTAAAATTACTGAACCTAATCATAGGAGCCTGATAAAAAATGTAATTTTAGAAGAAAATTTCAGATTGCACTTAGAGGCTTTTGCATTTGAACTCTTCATATATTTATACATAATGTAATATTTTTAAAAACATAAAATAGTGAGTGAATGTATATACATATACATAAGTTATCATGGGCACTGTAATGTAAAGTGGATGTAATAAAATGTCATTAGGCCGAGAAGATTTTAAAACGAACGGTTCATTCATAAATTCGTAAGACCTTACCTTCACACTGTGAAGATACAAACAAAAGACGAGTGAAGCGCTGAAAAGGGGCGGAGCTACATAAGTCTATATACACATATGTATGCATGTATGTCCCTCCAGTCATGTTAGAAGCTGTTATTTTAACTTTAAAATCTTAAGCATATGCCCCAAATCACATGACTTGCAAGAAATGATTTCATTTCTTTGGAGGGAAAGCACCTCTAAGAACAAACAAACAGTCATAAACTTTTCTCTCTTTCCCTCATTTTAGAAGACTTTTCTAGTAAGTCCACCCTGTTGTAATGGCCTTCATTAGCTTTAAACCTCTACCATGCAATGTAAAAATGTAACAGGGTGGGCACATTTCCTAGAATGTGAATGTAAAATCTGAAATATTTATGTCTGAATGAACAGGTTATACTAGCCTGAGCTTGACCAGTGTATGACTCCCTCTGACAAGATTAAAAATAATTGAATTAAAAAACTAATTCCATGAATCCTGATTGGTGTCACGAGTAGTCTATGTTGATTTTGTTTTCCTTGTGTTGCCTGCCTGTTTCCTTTGTTCTCATTTTCACTCCTGTAGTTAGTTTCTCATGAGTTAATGTGTATATTTAAGCTCTTAGTTTTCTTAGTTCTTGTCCAGTCTTGTTTATGGTAAATGTGTTGCTCTGTTTCCTGTGTTTATTACAACTTAAATTTCCTCATTGTGCACTTTATTTGGATTGTACTACACAGCACTGTTACACTTGGTTTAAAATCCACCTAAACTGTATGAATAACCTTTACATATTTACAATGAGCACCAAATAAAAGACACTGCAAGTCAACTGCTGAAGGCAAGTGATCTTACCTAATAAACAACAACAACAAAAAATGTCTGCATCTTTTCAAAAACAAAGCAGTAAAGGCCAGACTCACCTTGCAGGGGTATTCAAGTCTTAATATTCTAGAATACAAACACATCAAGATGTAACAACAGATGATATGGAGCATTATTGTTTACCATTGTCTTCATCTGCCACCTCACAGGCAATGGCAACAAATTAAACGAAATAACAGCAAGATAAAGTAATCATCACTTCATGAAATTTCACAAATGATTTATTTTCACATTTATCAGGTAAGAACACGTTTATAATTTCTTTATGATTCAGTTTTGCACATTTCAACAAAGATGATAACATAAAAAGCAAATGTATTAAGACTACAAGGTATAAAAATGACTGTTAAAGAAGACTATAAGATATAAAAATGGCAGCTAAAATGATTGTCATCGTTTTTCCAAGTAATCTGACATTTGCGTAGAAACTGTACTGTAGCACCTCTTGACAAAAAAGCTGAAGCGTAACACCAGAGTAACAACAATCAACACCTGCATCATGCGTCCAGTTACAGACGTGCAACATACCAGTTTTATCAGTAAAGTGTTTCAGCAACTTTCAAATAAATCAGTGAATGCAGCAAGGTATCCATGTAGACAGTTATATTTGTTATTTCAGAATCTAAACAGACAAGACAAAATAATGATGTTAAACAGATCAGTAGGTTTTATAGTGTTAATGACAAGAAACAGAGATAAACTGGGAGATATGAAAAAAATAGTAGTTACTGATTAGCTAATAGTGAATTATCACAATCAACTGAGCGCTATTACTTACTAATTATTTGTTTCATAGAAGTTTCTTGTTAGTTAAAAGTAGTTACTAGAATTGTAATAGTGCATTAGTCATTTGTTCCTGTGTAGTTATTCATTAATGACAGAACAGTATTTTAAAGTGTTGCCGGAAAACATCAACAAAACCCATAATGCACTGGGCATGTTAAGGCATGGATAGGCTTGTTCAGAGTCAAACACCACCTCGCTTTGGTTGGAAATACTTCTTAGCAAACTTTTAGTCACAGTAATGTTGAATTGTATTGTTCCCAGGCACAAAAATTCAAAGAGTAAATGTTTATTAGGAGTGAGTTATTTTCTGTTTTTTTCAGTGAAGGATCCTGTGCGTTTAAGGCAGTGGCTAAAGGCTGCCAAGAGTCATAATTATGGAGATTTACTGTGCAATCTGAAAAACCTCAGTGTTTGTAGTCTCCATTTGGATGCCGTGTTTCTATGGACGCATTGCATTTTTTTTTGGGTGATGCGCCTAAAAATTCTTATTTACGATGTTTTCGAGCATCAATATACTGCAGCCATTGAAAGTTCACAAGACCATAAGTGCATATAACGTGTACCATTTGGGCTTTACTGCCATGTTTACGAATCTATGTATGACCACGTCATCAGTGTGCATCAGTAACACATGCACACTGTGGTCAGAGTGAAGTGTAATGTTTACATGCCTGTTTATTGCACTTAAAATCAGCATACGCCACATATATTTATGTGATAATGGTTACGACGATTATCAGCTTAATTGCATTAATTTGATTTTTATTGTGTATTGTATTTACATGTTTACAAGCATTGTGTTTACATGAGGTCAAATTTAACATAGTCATTGATTTGACATTGATTCCAAATACTGGAATCTTGGTTTGGTGACAGTTTCTTTGAGAGCCATGAAAGTTTCTGCTGATTCTGTTCTCATGTGTCTTACCTTTTATTCACTGTCCCTTTCAGTTAAAGTCAACATAATAAATGATGTTACATTAGTGTCTGATTAGCAGCCTCAGCCTCATTACCATCAGGGGACGTCTTATTAGCAGTTTCCATCAATGGAGAGTCAGACATCTTAGGGGACCAGTCTTTTAAATATCTCTCCTGTAATAAAACACAGATTCACATGATGAATAATGATGAGGATGATTCGGTTACACAAACACATGGTGCTTTTTCCTGATGTTCACTGAATGCACACAGGGCTTCTTTTCCTAAATATTTAACACAATATCTTAAATACAATGAATCTTCAGTCTAATAAACTACATCACACTGTGATCTTCTGTACTACAGTTAAACAATGTTTGAATGCCATAGTGTCTGAAGCACAATATTTAGAATATTACAAACTATTTAGGAAGAATTTTGATTAAAATTCTTATTTTTATTAAAAGGACTGACAATGACAATGTGACTTATTAGTATGAGTCCTGGTTTCAAACATTGGACATCTGAGGTGCTTGAACTGTGCTCAACATAGTATCTCACCTGATCACTGTGCTGCCTCCTGCTGCCTGTTTGAACAATACCAAACTCAATTAAACACATTACTTTGGTTAATTAAGAGAGAAATACATATTTTTAAATTTTTCAAAAATTGCTTTTGTGCAATTTCTATCTTGTTCAATTATCTGTATGTGATACTCACTGTTTCTTTTTGCTTGATGCTTGCCATAGTAAATCGCAGCAGCTGCTGCAGCAACAAGCAGCAGAACACAAACACATATTCCTGCTACAGCAGCTGAAGACAGAGCAAAATCTGTAATGACAAAAACAGACAATCCAAGATGGCACTCCCCTGTGTGCAACATAGCTCTCCAAGTCAAGCATTACTTATCTTTTGTTTTGTTAGTGTCACTATTGTCCTTTCATGTGCTCATGTTAAGTATGATCGAGGGATTCTAGGAGCTCCTTCCCAGAGCTACATCTCCATGCTGGAGTGATCCAGGCCGCAACAACACAGCGACGAGGCAGGCGACGAGGAGGGGAACGGAGGCTACTCCAAACAAGATGATCTCTTCAGTTGGATGGCTATATGGAGGTACATCCAGGCCAGTATCATTGATATCAATACTGATGTTTTTATTAAATACATTTTCCCCTCAGTTTTAGCCATTAATTATAGCCATTCAACATTACAGTATAACTGAAAGCCATTATTTTTAACATTTAACAGGCTTTGAAAAATAACTTTTAATTTTAATTGAACTTAAAGCAACCTTCACATAAACTAGATTTGCATGAACTATAAATTTAATATAGATTCATCTTTATTCAAGCTACAAACGTTAAACAACAAAGAGCAGTGAGTGATTTCTTTTTAACTTTTGTTGTACATGACAAAACTGCAGCAGGTTTCACTTTAAAAGCGTTGCTGTCTCTTTAAATCCTGACACATCGGGTTTCCTTCCAACTCTTTGCAGTCATTTAGGACTTTTTAACTCTTTTAAGAATGCGTTTACAGGTCACTCGCCAAAAACGGGCATTTTGACATAATTTTGTGTATGTTTGTCCTTTGAAGCATTTAAGAGAACCATTAACTTCTCTTTTGCATCTTATTGTACTTGATAGCTTGTTCATATAGTGTGCTATAATGCTAGCAAATCGATGCCAGGAAAAAAACGGATGCTGCGTTAATTGTGTTCAGTATTTTAATGCATTAAACTGAATCGCACAATTAACACGTTATTTTGATAGCCCTAATTTGAAAATGTAGTCAAAGTTCACTTTTTTTTCACACAGGCCACAGTGTAAACATTTACTGTGTCGATTTAAACATTTCAAACTGTATTTTAAAATTCCTAATGGCCAAAGGCCCTGAAGGACTACATTTTACTTACCAGTGACAGTGACAAAAAATATTTTCCAACTGGTGATGCTGATGCTGCAGCGATGACGGCGGATGTTGCTGGTGATCTGTAGTTTATAAAGTCCAGAGTCTGTGCTTCTGGTGTCTGTGATGGTCAGAGATCCAGTCTGATGATCCAGCTTCAGTCTGTCTCTGAATCTCTCTTTACACTGATCATCTGTACAGATCTTACTCTGATCTCCAGTGATTTCAGCGATGAGAATGTCAGTAAAATACCACGTCATCACATTATTTGGTTTTCTTATTACAGCAGGATCTAAAGTGACAGATTCTCCCTCCATCGCTGTGTTTCTCTTCACTTCATCCAATTCAGCAGCAGGAACTTCTGAAACACAAACCAACAGCTGCTGGAGGAACTTTTTTGGGGAACTACACATCACGAGAACTGTGGGCATGAAAGTGATTGCACATTCTTACTGTTGACTTTAAGTGTGCAATACAACATTTGTGCATGTATTGTGCTTATAAACACATTTTACATACTTATATTACATCAAATCTTTTTTTTTAAACAGTTGACAGATCAGAGAAGGTATGATTATGTCCACCAGTGCATGACTACAGCTTTTCTGAACCAAAACGTATTTATAAAACTCATAAACGGAAATAATTTAGTTTTCAAACTGTTCTGTTTGATGAGAGAAAAAATCAACTAACATTAATATGATTTAAACATAACTGCTTCTGCTTGAGTCATTTAATGAATGTTTCACGAAATGACTCACCAAGAACAGTAACACTGAAAGCCTTTTCGCTGATGCTGCTGTTATTAATGATCTTTAGCTCATAAACTCCAGAGTCTGTGGTGTTGATATTCATGATGGTCAGAGATCCAGTCTGATGATCCAGCTTCAGTCTGTCTCTGAATCTCTCAGTACCTTTATTACACTGAACATCTGTGCAGATATAAGTCTGATCTCCAGTGATTTGAGCTATTCGAATGTCATTAAAATACCATTTAATATCTTCTAGGTGGTTTGTTTTAACACCAGTCTGTAGAGTGACTGAATCTCCCTCCATCATGGACACTCTGTCTGTATCAACACTGAAAACACCTGGAGAAGAAATGAACAGTTCATTATAAATGTGGCCTGGAATAGTGGGACAAAATTATAACAGGAAAGGGCTGTGACTTTTTTTTTTTTTTCTTCTTCAGATCATGAAAATTAGTTGCTTAATTGGTTGCTTTACATGTCAGTCAGACGGCCTCTTGGGCAGCCCTTGGTCAATGAAGGCTGCTTCAAAACCTTTGAAAGATGTGTTTGGAACCAATGGTTCAGCTGCGTATCATTCCGCCAAAGTCACATTATTTCAGTCAAGTCACCTTTATTTGTATAGCGCTTTATACTGATTGTTTTAAAATAGTTTATCAATAATGCAAGAAGAGCTTTGTTATGCCATAGCTGTTTTGAAATGTTTCAAAATTTCAGTGATTTGCCGCTAGCTGGTGATGATCTCTGTGAACCCATGAACTAGTGTCTACATGTTTATTTATTTATTTTTTATTACATGATCTCTGATCAATTTTATAAATTCGTAGACATTTAATGACACGTGTATAAGGGAAGAGATGTAGTTAACAGTCTCGTCTTATTAGTCTGAATAAGAAGCTCTCCATAAAACAAACTAAACAAGTCCAATACAATTTAATAAGACAATGACTACAGCCAGTAGTGGCTTTTACTATCTGTCTTGAAGGGACCCCCTCTTGCAACCCCCCGTCATCACGTCACACACACATCAGGATCAGAAATTAATGGGGGCTTGGGACAAAAATGAAACCTAGGCTTCATTGCCCTATAGCCAAAAGAAGAAGTGATCTTCTATTAACAACGACACCACTGAAACTGCGCCACATCGCCATTTGTTTTAGTTGTTTACTGCAGTAACAACTAAACCTCCAGAACATTTTGTATGTCTCCCTGATCTGACACACCCAGTTCAGGTCTTGCAGTTTCTACTAATGAGCTGATGAGTTCAACCAGGTGTGTTAAATGAAGGAGACATACAAAATATGCAAGTGCTGGGATTCCTCCAGGACAGGTTTGAGAAGCACTGATTTACAGGAAATGAGAGTGCAACAAATAGAAAGATGTCTTACCAGACACAAAGAATGCAGTCAATGCGAGTAAAATAAAGATCATTTTCACCACTTTTCCTGAAATGAAATGAATGCAGATTCTGTTGAAACAAAAGTGTTTAGTCCCTATGTCGACTCCATTGCCATGAAACGTGGAAGTAAATTTGTCCACTGTCTACAGAGCCAGTGGGTGGAGTTTGATGTCCAGTTGTCCCTTTCTGGAGTGAATCAGTGGAATTAGAAGGTCCAGCCATACCCTAACCCAGAGATGGGCAAACTCGGTCCTGGAGGACCACTGTCCTGCAGGGTTTCGCTCCAACCCTAATTAAACACACCTGAACCTAATCAAGGTCTTCAGGATATAACTCGAAGGCTACAGGCAGGTGAGTTTTATTAGGGTTGGAGCAAAACTCTGCAGGGCAGTGGCCCTCCAGGACTGAATTTGCCCCTTACCCTAAACATAACCCTATGACTAAACCTACTTAAGCTACACCTCTTTACAATATCACACACAATAAGCTCTGATGGATACTTTGGTAAATGTAACACAAGTACAACATCGCTCTCTGGTGCTCAAAGCAGAAAATCACATCTCTCTAAAAGCAGCACAACTTCTACCTGATACAGTGTGCTATAGATGCTGCTGTTCTCATAGGATTCGCTAATATTGCCTGTTTGACCAAACACATACTACTTTGAAACTCAACTGAATCAGAAATATGTATTTTTTCCTATTCTGTCAAGTTCTTGTAGTCTAAAATGATGTATTTGTCCTCTTAATAATTTTGACATGCATGTAAAGGTGATTGTGGCCATTATATTTATCTCTTTTTTTCATGTATCGATTTAAAACTTTGAACTCAACTGAACATTGAAGTGTAACTATAGTTGCTCAGGGCAAATGAACTGAATGACTGAATTACACTCACCAATGACAGTTAACACTGAAGATCTTCATATTGATGGTGATTTGGTTTTTAAATTCCAGTCTTTGGTTCAATTCTGATTCCATGTCTGAGGAATGAAAACACCTGAAGATGAAATAATAATAATAATAATAATAATAATAATAATAATTAAATAAAAATCACTGTGATATTTTTTCTACAGATCATAAAGACTGTGAGTAGAGAAATGTGTCTGGATTCATAATGTAGCACATACAAAACAAACAGCAGAAGAACATCAATTCATTCACTCATCAGACAAACATACACAAGTATAACATCATATAACCCACATCCTGATTCATATATAACCCCCTCCTCATACATATACAACCAAATAATGTTCACTACATATTTTCATAGTTCCTTAATTAAAAGGGTGGGAAATATTTAATGCTATTGAATGTTTTTATTCAAAATATTGCATTTATTTTCTAATTTACAGTTTATTATTGTTTGGTGACAAAACCCTCTTAAGTAGGAATTTATTTGAATAAGTAATTCCTTCATGACCGCTTCTTCTTATTATTTTTTATTAAATTAGTATATTATTTGAAGTTAAAAAATTTAAAATTTTTTATGAATTCCAATGCAAAGAGGCAGATATAGGGCATCTTGTGGCCGGAAAAAAATAATATGCATATGTAATGCCATGGTTTAACCACTAGATGCCTGTATGGCCGTTTAATAAATAAAGGCCTGGTTTCACAGACAGGGCTTAGACTAAGCCAGTATTAGGCCATATTTCAATTAGCACATTTAAGTCATTTTTATTAACATGCCTTAGAAAAAAAAAAAACATTACTGGTGTGGATCTTGAGACAAAACAAGGCCACTGACATATTTTAAGATCAATCCGTGCAAGTTTCTTTCAGTTGAAACAGCTCAGACTTACATTTTAGTCTGGGTCTAGGATTAAGCCTTGTCTGTGAAACCGGGGGATAGTGTATAGGTCTAGTCTAACCCAATTGAAAAAATGGAAGAAATTTAAATTTAACCCAATAAATAAGTTTAAAATAAAGGGCAACCAACTGCATTCAGCGAAAATCTTTATTATATAATATATCCAGTGAGGCGCTATAAGTCAGGGCTCTCAAGTTATATCAAAAGTTTGGAGTGAGGTTACATCTGCTAGGGGAGGAGCCACTCAAATATTTGCAGCAGCGGCCCCTCTTTGCTAGCAGTTCAATTTAACCTGTTGTTCATAATTGACCAGCACAATTAGAAATTATAACAACTGGTAAATCTGATAAAAGACTAAAGACTACCAAATAAAATAGATTGTTTTATATTTTACAAAAATACAAATGTATAAAAAATAAAAAGAAATTTGGCCCCAAACGAGCCAGCTAAACAGCAGTGCTCAATGTGCATACTGTACACATACAGAAGGCAGAAGTGCCCCCAGAAAATTTTAATAGGGGTGGCCAGAGGAGGCCACAGCAAATCTTGGGGTGGCACACCAAAAGAAAAAAAAAAAGGAATTCAGTGTAAAATGTGTTAATCTTATTTACTTTTGTTTCTGGTTAATGTAACAATATAATTTTTCTTAGCAATTAATTACTCTTTAAATAGTGTAGTTTTCCTTAAAATAATTATACATCAGCAAATATATGCGCAAACCAAACAAAAGGGCAATATGTAGCTTAACCTCTTAAAAAAGATCATTCACGGCACGTTAAAACATCACACTCTTACTTGATCTGGACAAACTGTGTATCATTAGAAAGATTAAAGACTCCAGCTTCGATATTTGACCACTGTTTATAATAAAACTTGGTTGCAGTGAAAGTAATTTCTGAATTTATGTCAGGAGTGCAAAATAATAATTCGGTAAAGTATGGTATTTTGATTAGAATAATAAACATTCATATTCAGTCGGGTCTGCTGCAGTTTATTTATGTTCACATCTTCACAGGGCCGTGCACAGACCTTTTGAGGGGCATGTGCTGAAACTGTATTTTTACATTAACAATGTAATCAATATTCTGTTTATTAAAGCCAAGTATGAATCTCATCAAGTTAGTGTTTTTAAGCATTTTACATTTATTCCAAAATAATAACTCAAGGCTGTAACAATTTAAACAATATATGTTATTTGTGAACTTATGTTCAGCTATTCTTTTTAATAGTTAACTTTTAAGTATATTTGAATTTTTCGTATCATCAGTCATCAAAGCTTAGTAAATATTGGTCACAGACACAGAAATTTACTTTAAATTTCAACAAGCTGATTTACTCACTAAAAACTCCCACAGATCAAGTTTTCAGACCATTTCAAGTCTTATTTTGACGTAATAGTGGTTACATCTAAGTGGGTGAGCTGTTTACTTACTTTTTTAAATGAGTCTTCCCATTAATACCATTTTAGTCACAAGCTCTTTTTAATACCGTTCATTAGCTAAATATTTGTAAAGCAGACAGACAGATGTAAAGGGTGACCAATATCATTGATTTATTGAAGGAAAAAAAAACACCATCACCAAAAAAAGGGCACTTCGGAGTGTAAGGGCAAAAAGGGCATGTGCTCTGCACAGGTTGAGCTCTACCTGTGCACGTGCCTGCATCTTCACTGAACAGCATCAGAAAGGGCTTATAGTCCAAAAGTGTGCATACTTGGAGAAATATTGATATATTTACACGTTTACTTTATATTTCTTCAGACAGAATCGTAATTTCTATTCATTTTCCACTGGTTTACACAATCTGATGAGCAAAGCTGCTCTGACTCAGATGAAGCTCATTCGCTGTTCATCTGTCACTCATATTACACGCTCATAACCCGCCCTATCTTTTCCGAAGCTTCCCTTACACTTCCGCGTTGTGTCTGTCCACAACAAACCCAGAGAAATGTTTCTACACACAAACATGAAGGTAATAAGCACACAATTACGATTATAACAGTAAAATGTCTTACCATACACGAGTAAATGCATGAGCAATAAGAGTAATTTCGAGTCATGCTTCATTTTTATACAGATTCGGTGAAGTTTAAAGTGCTTGGTCATGCGTGTTTCACCAGTTAATT